CCCTTCCAAGATCTCCTCCGAAATGTTCCTTGTGGACCCATTTTCCCTGACTGCCAGAATTTCGATGAAGGACACTTTTCGTATGTGCTTTAGTCTCCTAAGGTTTTAGCTTTATAAAAACAAATACAATCTTTGAATCTTTATTGCTTGAAGTATTAGACTAAAAACCAAAATAGTAATTCTAATCTTTATTCAGCTCATACGTCAAAGAGTAACTTGATACAGGTTAAAATAGTCAAAAGTCAAAATCTAGTCAAAAAACTAGTCAAAATTTGGTACCTTGTAAAAGATTTAAGATCGGCTAAAGACCAAAAAACAAAGCAAAACCGATTTCAAAACAAAAAATATTTTGAAATCGAAATTTACAGTTGGGAAAGATATGCGGGAATGATGGATGTATATGCTGGAAGATACAATTTGATCGTGGCTGGGACGGAGATCATCAATCCAATGGAGAGGGCATTGAGACTATCGGTGAGCAGTTCAAAATGAGAATCATTTTTCAAAAAAACGTTTGATTTCAGTTCCGACCACCAGCTCTTGATGGTTTCCTTGGTCCAATCAAGCAAAAGCTTCTACAAACTCACATGCACGAGACAGAGTTTGAGCCATTACTTGCAGTGGCACTCCGACAAGATCTACTCAATGAAATGGTTTGTGACTAGAGTTAATAAATGGAAATACAAAGAATTACCGTAAATTTTCTTATAGAAGCCTTCCATAAAAGCGTCGGGTAGTCTAAGTTTACTAGTCTAAGTCTAGTTAAACAAACGCTCAGTTCTCGACACCAGTACGTTTGTTTCTGCACATTTGGATATCAAATTAAAGTAGAGAAGATGGGTGATTTTTTGAAATATAAAACATATTTTTATTATTAACCAGCGCTTAGAAAAAATGATTAAAAAGTGGCAAAAAAAGCCGATTTTTCAACATTTTCAATTAATTTGTTCTAAGCGCTGGTTAATGCTAAAAGTAAGTGTTAAATCTCAAAAAATAACCCATCCTCTCTACTTTAATTTGATACCTAAGCGCGCAAAAACAAACGTGCTGGTGTCGAGATCTGAGCGTTTGTTTAAGAGTAAACTTAGACTACGCACTTTAAGGCTTTTTCAGAGGAAAATTTTTGCGCACCACACTAAAATGTACTAAAATACCGTACAATACCGCAAATTTATGCGAAACTTATGCTCAATAAAACTAAAAAAGTTAACTCAAACCTCCTATTGTGGTTGCCCGTTGATTTCATTGTTGTTGTTTCAATAAATTTTCGTTTCGACGTTGGCAAGTCCTCCATCGGTCTGTTAAAATTCTGTAACAAAGCGATTTTTTCGAAAAAATGTCTAAAATAAACTTAACTTTAGTTCCAGATGTCGAGTTGATGAAAAAAACATAAAAATAATGGTGAAAATTCAAAAAAACAAAGAAATCGGCTAATTTCCAAAAATTGGAGGGTTACGGTAGTTTAGTGCATTTTAGTGTGGCGAAATTTTTCTCTGAAAAAGGACTAAAGGGACTACGCGACGCTCCTATTGGCGGGCTTCTATTAGAGTATTTACGGGACTCAAAATCTCTACAATGACTTATTCAGTCTCACCAACTTTTGCGAATCGATCCGTTGAGTGGTGATCGACACGATATGCTTATTGAAGTATCGCAACTCATCGTGCAAATGGACAATGTAAGCTTTTGAGTTTAATTTTGTGATAAACAATTCAATTTCAACACTTTTACGGTCTTGAAATTGAATTGATTGGTTAAGGTTACGGTTTAAAGTTCAGATCACAAGACAGATCCAGCCCTCAAGAACGGTGATGTCACTGGGAGAGTTCTTGAATGCCGTTCCACAGGTTCGAGTTAGAAAAATCGATTTACATATTGGATTTAAAAATTTTAAAAGCAATTTGTTCACTCTAAAACAATTTAAGATCAATTTCAGATTAATATGACCGAATTCTTGAATGGTGAACTATCGGGAGTGTTGAGTTGGTCGACCGGGGATCCCGTTGTCATTTACGATTTTGAATACTTTCAACGCTTTGTTCAAATTGGTTTATTGAATTTTTATAAAACTGAAAGAATAGTTTAGCCTTGCAAAATCCGAGAAGAGCTTTGGCCAACTATTTGACAGTTGTTGCTGGAATCAACTTGAGGAATTACCTCATTTTACCTGGGGATAATGCAACGTGGGTTGAAGATCTTAAAGCTCAGAAGCAGAATCAGAGAATCTAGCTCAGAATCATTTGTCAGTAAACCAAATTAGCTTTAGATGGCGAAACTGTGCTCAGCAGACACAAAACATCGATATTTACTCTAACATTTACATCAATCGGAGAATGAACAACATCTCTTTGCCAGCGGTGAGCTTTTATTGCTAATAGCTTTGTTTCATCTGTGCCAGAATATAAGAAAAGTACATTTATTCAACAAGAACGATACAAAGAAACAATTAAAACATTACCCCTATTACCTATTACTCCTAAAGTAGTAAAGAAAAACCAATAAGTAAAAGAAAAGCTGTGGAAAAGAAGCCTGTGTGATTGAAGCCTTTACCTTCCGACTAGGAGCCAGTACTACATCTATTAGTCAATCAGCCATGTAGGCATTATTATCAATTCTTAGATTTCTGCTTTTACTCAACGACTCCGTGATGATTTCATTTCTTTTCACAAAAATCCATCATCGATATCTGCTCAAACAAGAGTTCTCGTTGGATATCCACAAAAATTACTGGATCAACAATATGTTTTTCCGGATTCTCTTGCGGTAAGAAAGAGTTTTAAAGAAATCTTTTCTGGGAAAGTCTTGTACCGAATAAGAGTTAAGCAAAGTTTACCCTACTAAAGCGCCCAAATTCTCAAAATTTCAAGGAAAAGCTTTCAAAGGATTTTAAAAGCATTTTTCTCGTTTTACCCGTAAATTTTATTCTGTTTAGCTTGAAAATTTGAAGAAAATTTTGAAGCTAAAGCTATTATAAGATAGCTAATATCAAAGTTTACCCTACTACCCTACTAAAGCACTTTGAAATTTTGAGAATTTGCTCAAATTCTCAAAATTTCAAAGAAAAGCTCTTGGCTACATTGATTTTGTGATCATTTTTCTACAGAGCTTTTAAATCACAAGATTATTAAGATGTCAAAATGATTTTTCTCGTTTTTCTGATAGATTTTTTCCTGTTTATCCTTGTAGTTGACCAAAAAATTTCATTTCCGGAATATTCTTTGAAAATGAATTATAGAATCATCAGAATCATCATCAAAAATCAAAATCAAAGATTCAAAAAAATTCCTTTTAGATTTCTCTGAACACGACAAGCTATTTTGACTCGATGACAACCGTTTTGAGAGCTCAAAGAAGAAGAGATTTTGCTGAAGTTGGAAATTTGCTGGCTGATGATGACTCGAGTGGCTTTTATCCAATGACACCCGGAGTATTGGAGAGTCGAAATGAGAATGCATTGGGTAAACTGATCACTGATGGCGTTAGAAATCTAAAGCGTCAATTAACCGAACAAGAATCTCATTGCTTTGATTTCATTTGACTTTCAATTCAATTAAACTCAATTCCCCACAATTTGCAAGTTCAGTGATCCCACTGGCCGCCCTTCAAGAGCCTCTAATAATTCCCGGCTCGGATTCTCCGCAATTCTCCATTTTCGCCACTTATGGAATCACCATCTTAACTCTTCTATCCAAAGTATATTGGCAGGTCAGAGATTAATTCGTCTGCAGAATTTTTCCTGCAAAAGATTAAGTTGATTTCATTCTAACGAGGAAATCCAGATTAACATAATCTCATCTGAAAATTTCCTTTTCTAGAAAATTGTAAATCAGATCAAGAAGAAAAGATTCAGGATCAACAATCAAACATGCCTTTGCCGTGTTTTGAGCAAGAGTATCGAACTTTTCTGAGCTCGAACTTCCAGAATATTGAATTCTCGGTAACTGGTAGTTTACGATCGATATCATCTAACTTTTGCATTCAGGCTGATTTGATGAAAAGTCTTTCGATAGCGGATGCTTTAATAACAGCTGAGTTCTCATATTATCGATGGAAAGATGAAAGTGGATTGAGAAGCGAAATACATCTACCAACACTCCAGAAAATGAATAATTGGGAAGAGTTCTATGTGACAGCTGGAACGGTGAGTCTTCGAGTTGGGTCTGGGATGGATTAGAGAGATATTCATTGTTTTATCATGTTTCTTTACCGACCCGAACCAAAGTCGAGTAGTTGTCCAACAAAGAGAAATGTTAGCACAATACAGGGTGGCCCAAAATATGTCTTACGATTTATATAAAGGCAGATGAATTCGAAAATGTGTCAGATTACTTGAAGTTTATTATAATTTCATTTTTATAACACCTTTACACTTATATTCCAATTTTTTACTAGATCGGAGAAAGGGAAAGGGCCATTAAAAGCCATTAAATGCCCTTTTAATGGCCATTAGGGCCATTAAAAGTCTCTTAAAAGAAATTTTAACAAACTGTCTGCCTCACACAGATATGGGCCACCATAAAAGGTGCGTTGTCAGGCATGGAATCATGGTTGATGGTGTCAGAGCCATTAACCTTTCTACAGTTCCTGTTTTACTTCTAGGATTTTTTTTACCGACCCTACGGACAAGTCCTTGGGATGAATCAAAGAATTCCCGGCAGCCCCCTCCATTCACGGAACTTGGGATCCAAGATTGGTCAGCGGAGTAAACTCACGTACGCTCAACCAAAATTGGCCGATCACTGCTTTTGGCGTTGTGCTACCCCTATGAGGCTTATAACTGGATTGGTTACCAGAATGACTCATAGGGAAACAACGTCACTATTCCCGAGACTTTCCGGGGTTTCTGGGGAAGCCGTTGGCCAGATCGCGAGCGATTACGCTGCCGCACAAAGAACACCTTTATTTTATCCAGTGAATCTTCTTTTGCTCTGAAACTTGCGCCCAGATAAGATTTGAAGCCAAAAATTTGTACCCGAGCTTTCTCGAGATCGGGCAATCGATTGGCGGTTTTTAAAACCCGATTTTTTTTAGATGACGTGCAATCGAGACGGTTTTCTCGCTGGCTCTTTCTATGAATCAACGTAAGTAAAGAGAAATCCAAAAGTTTTATCTTCCATTTTCTTATTCAATAATAGTTTTTGACCTTTCAACTTCAGAATCAATACCGCTTTCTCGATGTCTGAAGAGTTCTCGAGGAGTTTCCATTGCAAGAAAGAGCAGCCAATGTACGAGAATGACTGTTTAAAACCATTTTTACAAATCGTATAATCAATGTGATCGTATAATCAATTTCTTAAGCCTTCTCGATGTTTTCTCATTCTTGATATCAATTTTTCTACTTAAAACGGATCTGACCAAAAGAATATTGAATTCGTAACTTGTCTTTCAGTTATTTTCCTTTCTTTCATTTGAGCTAGTCTTTTAGAAATGTATTTATTAACAATTTTTATGAGATTTTTTCTGACAGCTTATAAAAAATGCATAAGATTGCAGAAAAGAATTTCCTTTTCGATGGGAAAAACGTCATTAGAGAGTTTGCACGTAGGATTGTTTCTTTTTCTTATTTCTTTTCAAAGAATGAGCTGAGAAATTCACCCGTATATTCTGCTCATGACATGTTTTGGATTGAGGAGCGTGGGTTGCGCATGTTTACTAACTACTCAAGACATTCATTTGAAAACAAACAATTTCTGGAAGTGCAGAAAACAATCTGGTCAAGGTCGATGGTCAAACTTCATTTCAGGACTCAGATATCCTTTCTTTACACGGATACAACTAAAAATAAGACACATTTTTCAAAACAAGCTGCAAAGCTTCGCCCCTTCAGCTTTCTTGCTAAAATGCTTAACACATTCACGACGATACGGCCTACTAGGTTGGTGCAAATGAAATTTCGTTTTTTTGCAAACATTAAAGTCATCCAAAATTTTTTTAGATAACAATTTATTTAAAACAATAAGCACCATTATTATCTATGACATCCCTCCAACGTTGCTACAGATTGCGGATCCCCTTCTCAAAGAACGCTTGATTCTGTGATGCAAAGTAGTTGGTCACCCAATTTTTGACTTCTTTTGCATTCTTAAACTGGCAATTCTCAAGGGAATGTTGCATCGATCTGAAAAGGTGAAAATCGGAGGGTGCTAAGTCTGGACTATACGGCGCATGTGGTAAGACCTTCCATCCTAGCTTCTCTAGTTCCTTACAAGAGGTTTTTGCCGTGTGAGCTGGAGCATTATCACGGAGAAAGTTGATAGTTGAGGGATTTAGGCCTTTTTCACGCAAAATTTCGTCAACCTTCTTGAGTTGTTGAATAAAATAAGATGAATCGACTGTTTTTCCGGGCTCTAATAATTCAAAATGAACAAGTCCATTGATATTCCACCAGCAAGACAACATCACTTTGCGCCCATGATAATCCGGCTTTGGAGTTGGAATTGGCGCTTGACCTTTGCTCAGCCATTGTCTTTTTCGAGAAGTATTATCAAAGTGAATCCACTTCTCATCCATCGTCAAGATATTCTCAAAAAAATGGCTTCTTTTCGACTTATGGAGCAAGATATGGCTGATCGAAACGCGTGCTCCCAGATTTTCAACACTCAATTGATGTGGAACCCATTGTCCATTACGATTTGTCTTTCCAATTATTTCCAAATGGCGTACAATTGTTGAATGATCACATTGAGATGTTTGGCAAGTTCTCGTGTTGTTTGCATTGGATCAGCTTCAATTAATTGTTCCAATTCATTGTTGTCGATGGCTGTGGCACGATGTCCATGCGATTCGTCTTCAAGGGATTCATTACCATCTCGGAATTGGGCAAACCAGAGCTGGCATGATCTTTCGGTGATAACCTGTTCTCCAAAGGCGGAACAGAGCTCACGATGTGAATCAGCAGCGTTTTTGCCCATTTTGAAGTCATAGAGAAGACACGTGCGCAGAACATACTTTTGATCCACCATGATCTAAAGCAAAAATCAATTAAAAAGTGAAAGCTCTGACTTTGAAAAAATGCGAAAATAAAGTAAATATCCAAGAGTACAAATGCACAAAAGAACATCAAATAAGCTCTTCAGATTAAAAAAAATAAGAACATTTTATATCGACCGAAATTTCTTTTGCACCAACCTAATACTGGTGAGTACTAATGACAATTATTTTTGATGTCAACTCAAGTTTTCAAAGGTTTTTGTTATTTATTTCGCAGAAAGTTTTCTGTAACTTTGTACTAGTTTTCAAGAGGAGATTCAGGGCTATTGAATGACTATAATACAGTTTAATTTAGTAGTTTAGTTTGTAGTCTAGTTTGTCGTCTAGTTTGTCGTCTAGTTTCTCGTCTAGTTCGTCGTCTAGTTCGTCGTCTAGTTTGTCGTCTAGTTTGTAGACTAGTTTGTAGTCTAGTTTGTCGTCTAGTTTGTAGACTAGTTTGTAGTCTAGTTTGTAGTCTAGTTTGTAGTCTAGTTTGTCGTCTAGTTTGTCGTCTAGTTTGTCGTCTAGTTTGTCGTCTAGTTTACCTTTGAATGTTCACCAAGTTATTAGTAACACTGTTAACGATTACGCGACTGTACGCCCAAAATGCCGTCGTTGAAAATGTGTCAAATGTAGACCAATCTCTAAAGACTTAAATCAGCTTTAAACCAAAATTGAACCTAATTTTCTTTTAATAGAGTCCAACGTTTTCTAGCCAACCAAAGCCGACTAAACTAATCAACGGCTTCAATTCTCTCAATTTCAATTTGCCTTCAATTTTCGAGACAAAGCAAAAAGTTCTCTTGCTGACCAAACCAGATTTGAAACCATATTTCAAGCAAGAGTCGAGTCAAATAGAAAAACGAGCAGAATCATAAACTAGAATTCGAAAAGGTTGTGTTCTAAGAAAAGCAGCTATATAAAAGCTCTCGATACAAATCTCTGACGTTAAAGCACAACGCAAAAACAGGTACTGGAACATAGACAGAGGTGCTTCTGATAAGAAAAGTATCTAAAAATATTTGTCCTGTAGCTAATAGCTATTTTGAGTTCAAAAAGCTTTTTGCTCGAGAATAAAAAACAAATCCCTGAAAGCCTATCCAACAAGAGTATAGCAAGTTCGAACAAAAAGAGTTCGTTTTTATTAAGCTTTTCAAGCAAAGTGATTCTCATTGTAAATAATTCTCACTGCCTAATGCCAAACTTGTTTACTCCATGTTCATGCAAGCCTATTAACAGTTGCAAATCTAAACATCTTGAATCTCATTCAATCACTCTCAATCACTCCATTCTCAATCACGAGCCAAATCCCCAATCTTTCTCATTTCCGTCTCAACTCGTCCTCATTTGCTTGCAGGAAATTGGATTGTTGACGTTAATTTGTTCGTCAAACTGACTGTTAGCTGACTTTTTCAATTAGAATCGTTTACCCTTACAACTATCTGTATTGAGTGCTAATAACAAGATAATTTCTCAGCTACTTTGACATTTTCAATTCAAACATTCTTGACCTTCTCAACAAGAGCAATTTTTTTACACTTTTTTTTGCTATTTTCCACCTGTCTCAGGTGTAAAATGCAGAGTTTTCACGTTTGGAAAAGTTTGAGAACAAAATACTGTACCCGAGAAGTAACACAAGCAAATTTTGGGCATTTGAACTCAAGAAGATCTCATTTTTTCTTCATTTCAATTTAAGTTCATTATTCTAGGAATTTGGAACTCCAATTGCTCATCTAAATTCTTTGGTTACTCACTCATCAAAACCACCCGCACGCACAGAAAATTGAGAAAAAGTTCGTGAGCTGAATACAAATTTCAGACAAAACGCAGACATGGTAAGTAAATAAACTTTTGCGTCAAATAAAAAACGAGCAGAATCATAAACTAGAATTCGAAAAGGTTGTATTCTAAAAAAAAGCAGCTGTATAAAGGCTCTCGATACAAATCTCTGACGTTAAAGCACAACGCAAAAACAGGTACTGGAACATAGATAGAAATGGTGCTCTGATAAGAAAAATATCTAAAAATATTTGTCCTATAGCTAATAGCTAAAATAGCTAATAAACTTGAAATGTGTATGCAATCAAATCCCATCAAAAAGAGCTGGTTTACTCTGTTTCATATTTTGTAGATAAACCGCCAAAATACATCGATATCTATAACCTTTCAAGTTTACTTTAGTTAGAGGTTTCTCTTGTCTCTCTTTTTGAGCTTACTCTCTTGTCCCCTTGCAATGGAAACTCTTCGAGAACTCTGCCTAAGCCCGGAAACCATCTCTTGTCCTCTGCCTATTGTAAGTAAAAGCAGAAATATCTCAATCTCTCGGATCTGGATTTGGAATCATTTGTGACTTTAGCTCAGTGATTAGAGCAATTGCAAAACAAAAGATCGAGGCTTCAATCCCCTCTCCGGAAATCTACTTTTCCTGTCAATTCCGTCACTTCTGATCATTAATACACGTGGTTCTGATTTTCAAGTAAGACGGGAGTCCACAGTTCTAAAGACCGGTATTCCCCTTCTTTCTTTCTTCCTTTCTTCCTTTCTTTCTTTCTTCCTTTCTTCCTTTCTTATCCCCTATTGTCTTTCCTTCTTTTTCTTGACAAGTTAAGGTACCAGATAGCTCAATGGTTAGAGCAATTGACAAGCAAAACATTGAGGATTCAAATCTACTTTTTCTTGTCAATTCTTTCACTTCTTTATTTCAATCTTCAGGCTAAGTTTGTCTATTGAAAAATTCGAAAAGCTGACGTTAAGAAGATTTGTGAATTTTTCTAGGAAATACTAACCAAAATACCCATCAACAAAAAGAAGATTTTGAGCCAATAAGCTCTCGGATGAAGCCTTGATTCGTGAGCTTATCCACAGATCCATATTTCATAGTTATTGCCTAATTCAAATGTGTTTGATCTTGAAAAAAAGAAAAACCCATTTATTGAAAGCGATCACTAATCGAGGCACATTTTGGTTTTTGGTTTTTTTGATGATTTGACTTGGTGATTTGATCGAAGGATTACGGTAGTCTTTTCACAATCATCATTATTATCATTTGAAATTACGAGTATTCTGATGGATCTTCATCACCGAGGGGATCATTGTTGAGAAACCAGAAATAATTCTTTTTGTCTCGTCCATCTTCCAAATAGCCGGGAATGTGTTGAAAGACGCCGTAGTACGATCGCTTGTCGGGCTGAAATTAAGAATTTGTAAAGAACAATGGTTTTAGGCAATGGTTTGCAAAACCTATTTGTATTTTAATAGTTTACTGGCTTATTCTTTAAAATCTCCCGAGCTTATATTCAATTCCAGGCTTTGAATGGAGGAATCTAACCCTGACATTTATCAGAATCCAGAATCAACCATTGTTATAAAGGTCTTGAATGCTAAATAAGACTTTGCATACTAAATTGTGCATTGTAAAATCAGGGCAAAAGCTAGAACAGCTCTCTTCTGTTCTAGCTTTTGTTCTGTTCTTCTCTTCTTCAGCCCTTCTGTTCTAGAAGTTCTAACTCTCTCCTGATCTCACTCGTGCTTTCAAAGGCTCGAGTGAGTTCAGAAGAGAGTTAGATCAAAAGTGTGTTTATCGAGTGAACTATGGGCTATACTTGTGAGCCTATATTGTAAAAAACTGATTCATTGCCAAGGATGGGTATAAACTTTAGCTTAATAAGTTCTCCCAAACCTTTTTTGCTTATTTGTTTAATATTTTCTTTAAAATTCACCTCATGTCTGAGGAAATGTCGCCAAATTCCATGAACTGGAGACGTCAACACGATCGAGATGAAGAAAAGGAGACCTGGAATTGAGATTACTGTAACTATTGCAAAATTTAGTTTCTATTATCTATTACTTATATAGATACTCATTCTAAATGATTCTTAGCTAGTTGACAAGTCTAACAATACTCCAATTTGTGGAAGAAACTCACAAATTATCAAAAACCGCAAGGTGGCGTTCATCTTGAAGTTAAATAAAATATAAGATCAAATTATTGAAGCTGTACCTCTTCTGTAAATACGATAGAAGTATTTTCCGAAGTTGTTTTCAGGTTTATTTTATCCTCCCCAGCTCCCCTCTTTCCTTTCCTCTAAACCCCGCCCACTTTTACCCTCACATGGAATACTTTGAGTTTTGTACAGAACTAGAATGAAAATTCAATTCTTGACGCAAAATTTCGGAAAAGCCCTACTTTTCTGCGTATCCAAACTTCCTCTTTGCGTAGAATGTGGCAGCAATTAGACAATCGAATTGTGATCAATTATGGTGGCGCTAGATGGGAAATATCTGGATTTTGAGCTGAATAGAAGAATAGAACAAAGCACAGATTTGGCATGATAATATGGTTTTGACGATCGCAACAACAAAATACAAAAGCTGAACACAGACTAGAAAGGTTGGCGCCAACTTTACGTAGTTTTCAACGTGACATTTAGAGTTTCACAACCAAAATCTAAATTTGAGTCCAGCTCAGCGCTAGCAATAGTGGCAATGGTGGCCTTAAAATGGCTCAATGCCTTGCTGAGTTGAGAACATTTGATTATTAGCACTTTGCCAGAGTCATCGTTTAGACCGATCTACTCCAGAAGAGCTTCAATCTACTCCAATATACTCCAGAAGAGCTTCAATCTACTCTAATCTACTCTAGAAGCGCTTCAATCTACTCCAATCTACCAGTTAAGCAGTGATGGAGCTGTTGTCAACTATAAAGTAAGAGCCAATAAAGCTATCGTTACCATAATCCAATTTTAGTTTTACATATGACGAGGTTGTCTTGAATCTATTTCACCAGCTTGAACCAATCAGACATTCGTTTAAAGCCAATCAGACATTGGGGTTAAAGTTTACACAATCGACATTCTTGACGTCAATAGTTTTTTTCGAGAGTGAATCGTCTAGAAACCAATCTAATCAAAAGAAACGCAAGTTAATTTCCGTTTTCCATTGTTCATTCTCAACAACCGCAATCTATCCAACTTTTTGTGAAATTCGGAAACTTTCGTTTAAACAAGTTTATTTTTCTTCCTTTCTCCATCAATTATTAAACAAATCGGGAATTCGGAACGGCAATTCGGAACAATTTCTGTTTGAGAAATGGTTGTTGGCTTGAAATGAAGTTTTCTTTCGATCTTTTTCTTTAGATTTTTTCCAAAAAGTTTCCTCAACAGAGAATTATTAAAGTTATTTATAAGTAGATACAAAAGTTAAACAGATTACAGTTCTGCAAGTGATGTCTAGACCATCGTTTATTGATGATGAAAAAAGTTGCGTAGCGCTGAGTAAAGGTTTTGATCAAGAAATTGACTTTTCAAATCAGTTAAATGACTTTTTTTTGATCTCTACACCACAATATTGCAATTTGAAATTGTTTTTTGATTATCGGATTGTCGGAAATAGACACAATGACAAAGTACAAATCTCATCGAATCGCCTTATGCTTTCTGAAAGTTCTAATTTTCAATCGAAAAATTCAAACGTAGACATCGTGAAAGAATTGAGTTTACGGAACAGACAATTATAAAAGGTAGTACGGCAATCGGCAATCGGCAATCGGCGCACTAAATCGTTTATAGTTCGTATTCGACTCTTTGCCTAAATCCATTGGATTTGAAAAGTTGTACCGAGAAATGTTCTGCGTCTTTTCTTTCTAGTACAATCTGATTTCTAAAATAAATCACGGAAGTGACAGTTTTATTGTAGTCAAAATGGCAATCCAGCTGTTTGTGAAAGTTTTAAGTCGTGCGAACATTGATTTAAAATTGTTTTCCTAACAACACGGTCATCGGCACATATCCTTAACACAGACTTGCTCTTCTTTTAAGCAAGAAATCCTCCATCATCATGAAAACTCATCTAAAAATTAAGTTTTAGACTCTTTTTAATAACAGACTCCAGGAAATCCTTCGACTTGCATGTCATCAGCGTCAATGCAATCGCGAAGACAGCAAGAACGAGATTGAAGTTGCTTTTACCATTTTTATACTGTTTTACGAAATCTTTGAGAAATAAATGACCAGTTATACTTTGTTTTTCTAAAAATAAGTCTAAATAAGAATGTAGACAAAGAATTTTGAAACAGTTGCAGCAAACGAATATAATTAAAGAAGGGCTGGAGGAAACAGAGTTTTTTCTCGAATGAATTACAGCCTCAACAAAGTGTTGAACTGTTTAATTATTGGCAAAGATCACTAAAAAAGTTTAACAGTTTGGGACGATACTTTATTGTTATTTTCCTATTATTAGCCTTATTATTAGTTTCCTTTGTGTGCTGTTTTGATTGTAGTTGTCTGAAGCACTTTTATAAGAGCTCAAAGCCTAGAGCCCAAAGCCTAGAGCCCAAAGCCTAGAGCCCAAAGACTAGAGCCCAAAGCCTAGAGCTCAAAGCCTAGAGTCCAAAGCCTAGAGTCCAAAGCCTAGAGTCCAAAGCCTAGAGTCCAAAGCCACTATTAACTTTGGACTTTTGAATGATGTGTGAGCTTGTGGGTGGACCTAATCTCAGATTTGTATGATCTCATACTCAGGTGAAATCATTCGTTCATTCGAGGAAGGCTCTCCAAGAAATGAATAGGCTCAATTTCCTTGAATAGAATGAGATTTGTTTCCCATGAAAGCCTAATGTAACATGAATATCATTTTACTATTAGGTAGCAAGTTCAAATCCAATAGCAACCACTCATCCCGTGTGTTTTCATCACTTCTAGTTTTTTTGGTCGAATTCCTTACTTGTTTAGAAGGAAATCATTTGAAAATTCAGGAAATTTCAGGAAAGCCAGTTTTTGGAAATTTGACGTACTTAAATGTCAAATGAATAGATTGAGGAAATTGAATTAAGCGCTTTTGAGATGTACGATAGTTTTTGGCAAATGTCATTTGCAAAATAACAAAGAAAGGTTAGCCGAAAATATATTTAATTAGTGTGGATGTATAATGATCTGTGATTACGGTAAAATATCGGAGTTGAGATTGCAATTGCATGATTTGGTGCTGTAACTTTTGAAAAACAAAACGCACATTTATTTAGGCACAAATTTTCTAAAATGAAAAAAGAGAGAGAGATCAACGACAATAAATTACTGGCATTTCTTCCATTTCAGTTTTGTTGATTATCACCGAGGAACCAAAGAAGATTCTTCTTGTCTCTTTCCTCCTCTGTGTATCCAGGAATATGCTGATAAGCACCAAAGTAGCTGCGCTTTTCCTGGAAATTCATTGGTTTGTCGGTTTGGAGTATTTTGAAGAATGGAAGTTTAGAGCTTATTAAAATCAATTTTATGGCTGATAAGTCTTTGGAAATTTTTTTAAGAGCTAGAACTAAACAATTCACTGATTGATCGACGTTTTGCTCCATTAGTAGGCCATTAGGCCATTAGGCTATTGGGCCACTAGGCCATTAGGCCATTAGGCCATTAGACCATTAGGCCATTAGACCATTAGGCCATTAGACCATTAGGCCATTAGACCATTAGACCATTAGACCATTAGACCATTAGGCCATTAGTAGGCCTTTTATTAGAAATTAGTTTATTAGTTTAGATTAGATTTCATTAGATTAGAATCATTTCATTAGAAAGATCTACTATTTTTTTACAGCGTCACAATAGAGTCCAAATTTTATGAAAATCTTTTTGTCTATAGTTTTTTTTATGGGGGAAGTCGGATAGTTCCAAAAAAGGCGACAACTTTAAGACGCAATTTAGACGCTTTGGTCAACAGAAACCTATTTTGATGTCAATAGATAAAAAATAGAGCACAAAAAGCTAGGTTTTCAGGATAATCTGTTCAGTTGATTCCTTTGTAGAGCTTTTTATCGAATTTGACGAACGAGTGCATTCGAATTTGCTTGGAAATAGACCTAGACTGTCTTAAAAAAGAAGAAAAGATAGAAAGAATAGAAGAGAATAGAAAAATGAACAAGAAACATTTTCTATTTACAGCCAATTGTAAGTCAATTGGTGAAGTTGTCATTAAACACTAGTAGAAAAAAGTGTGCTAAGACTCGACCAACCTAAGCTCGGCCAAGCTCGGCCAACCCAGCCGAGCTAGCTGAGCTATTAGGTTGGCAACCAGAGTTAGAACCAAGATTCTAGTATGATTTCATTTGATCAAATCGAACAATATTTCAGTCTTAGCTACAATTAAAGTTATTTTAGTCAAAAAGGGATAATTTCCTCTACTCGGCTCACTACCGTAATCCCCTTTCAACATTTTCAAGCAATCTTTAAGCTGTTTGAAAAAAAGACTACTTACGAATTAGACAGATATTCCACTTTATGCGCTTTCATTTTTATCTACTTCCAAAGCTTTAAGCTTTGCCCTTTTCTTATGTAGGAATAGATCAAGCTCAATCTATTTTAGGGTTTCCATTTTTTAAAACACTTTTTTTAAAAACTTGATGCCTTTCAATTGTCGTCATTCTCTTTTTTTTCTTTAAACCGGGAAGTCTTTAAAAAGACGACTTAGAACAAATAAAATTGACGAGGTATTTGAGGGTTTTCGGAGAAAGGGAAGTACTTTGATGGGATTATGAATGGATGAAGTTAGAGGAATCGTCATTTTCTTCATTCAAGCACCACAAAAGCTTTATTTTTAAACCTCAAATTACCCAATTTTCCTACTGAACAACTTGCAGCGTTTCTTTTCTTTTTTCTTCTTTTGAATAAGTACAACAGGTGGATTACAACAGGATGGACAACATTCCGATTTGAATACTTATTCAAAAGAAAAGAAAAACAGGTGAAATTTGCTTTTAAGCTCTTTTTGCTTTGGATTTGTGCTCTTTTTGCTCTCAGTCAAAGAAACGTCAATTGTTTTCCAATGAAACACCTGCTATTTACAATATGGTAGATTCATTGAAACAGATAAGAACTACAAGGTTTAAGTATCAGGTGTGGTAACAAAGATTCACCTCATTTCCTGGAAGATTCATCCAAATCCCGTGCACGGGTGATGAGAGAACGGCGGCGAGGAGGGTACCCAACACTGGAATGGTGAAATTAGTTTCAAAATCTGTTCAAGATAGATCTGTATCTTTTAGACAGATCATTCTAGACAATCAGACAATCAGACAAGTTGTCTGATTCATCTAAGTCAATCATTTGCTGAGTTAGAGTCAACAAACCATTTCACGGGATTTGATGAACTAAATCGGGAACCTCATTTGACTTTGACCGTTGTTCCAATTCATGAGTTCTCAGTGCTTCTATTTGTTTCAATTAATGATAATGATAATGATGACACTTTGCAAAACAACTTCACTAAGTATGATTATTTGAAATGACTCAAAAGTAATCCATACTCAAAAGTAATCCATACTCAAAAGTATTCCATACTCAAAAGTAATCCATACTCAAAAGTAAATGCAAGCTATTTTTGAAGTGATCAACAACTAGTAGAGTAACCATTTATGTAATCATTTTTGATGATTGCAAATTAAATTCCTATCAATTTGTTAAATCAATTTATCGTCATTCACTACGATTCGATTTGTTCGAGGACTTTACTTTTTTCAGGCCAAGGACAAAAGGATTAAAGCGATCAAATCAAGATTCTGATTGGATTCTAGCATATTCTGGGACATTTGATTGGGAAGTTTGATCGTGAGAAAGTGTAGTGAAAGGTAAAAGTACTAAGTACTGTAGTACTGTAGGTAAAGTACTGTAGGTAGAGTACTGTAGGTAAAGTACTCTAGGTAAAGTACACTAGGTAAAGTACTCTAGGTAAAGTACTGTAGCCGCAGTACTTTCAGGGAATCACTCTTGTATATTTAGCCTAAATATCACCTATTCCTGCATAATTTCAGCCACCAATCTTCCAGTTTTTTGTTTCATCAAAAGAACTTTTGCCCATCATCTTTTTCGTGTCTGATGTCAGTAATTAATGCATAAATTATGCAAGACTCAGTCTATAAATGAACTAGCTATTCCCAGAAAGTCACTATATACTTTGTCACTATATACACTATGAACTTTTGTCTTTTATCTTTTATAGGTTTATAGATATCTTTTATAGGCTTCAACACTTCAAATTCTGTTTATAGTATGAAAAGTTTATCGAGATTTGATCCATTTCTTTTTGTCAGCTCAATTTTTCTAGTCTAGTTTCCCACATAGTTTTTCATTCACTTTTACTTTCTTAACACTTGCAAACTTTGGTGAGAAAATTCAGCTAATCTCAAGTGAAAAGACTCACAAAGAAGCAGAAATCGAAGTGACGAGCTCATCCTTTTTGTTGAGTCTGAAAGAAAGAGGAGAACCAAGGAGATAATCTGAAAAAAGGAGGCGTTACCGTACACTTGAAGTTATAAAAAAGTGAAAAACAATGAAAAAACATAATCCAGATATTGAATTGAGAGTTTAGTTGGGTAAATTGATGAAGATTATCAAGGAAGATAAGGCGGATTGTTGAAGTCACCCAAGAGCAAACTGACAATGTACTTTGAGTTCAATTTCTAATTCAGATTCCGAAATGGTGAATAACAAAACTTGTATCAATTCTGGATAAAAGAAAACCAAAGTCTGAAAGTGAAAGGAAATGGCCAACTGTACGTGAGTCTACGAGCTTCTCGAAGACCTTGATCTTCTAAAAGATCCCTTGCAGAATCGGACTGCAAAAGGACTCTTATTCTATGATCTTCTGCAGAAGATGTACTGCAGTACATGAGCCTTTAATAAGTCTGAAAATTTAGTCTTTATGCGGAGTCCGTTTCCTTCTACGGCTCAAAAATTTAAATGAGGGTTCGATTTCGGAAAACCTGATATCTAAAGAAAAACTACATAGGATCCCGTTTCTTTGACATAAAAACAACAGAAAACAAGGAACTTTAAAAGAAAAACGTTTCGAAATTTGAGGAGATAATGGAGTGGAAGAAAAAAGAAAGATTTCAGATGATGACAACTGAAAGGAGGACGTGAGTGGAGGGGAAGGGAAGGGAAATGAAGGGAAGGGGAAGGAAGGGAAGGAGAAGGGGAAGAAGATGGACTACGTATATGAAGAAGGGAGTGTCTTACATACGGGAAATCATCTCTTTTCTGCATACGTGCATGAGATGAGAAAACTATTTTGTACTTTTAGCCTATTTTGAGATTTAGAGAAAACTATTTTGTACTTTTAGCCTTTCCAGAACATCTTTTCTTTCCTTTTTCTTTAAACCAACAAATGCACAAATTGAACTACGGTTTGTTTCATCAGAAAGGCCAATTATTTTTCAACGAAAGTACGAAAAGGAACGAAAACCCTTTCTGGAAAAGCCTATTAAGTACCATTTCAATAAAGCTTAGGTAAATAGTAAGTTGGATGAAGTGCATGTTTACATATCTATTGAAAACAAGTTGTCAAATGGGTACATAGTATTTAAAAGATACAACGCACTCATTGAAAGCGAAATGTTTCAATGTGCAATTCCCGTTTATCCCCTCCTCCCCTTCTAGCTTTCAGTCTTGAATTGGTCTAAAAAGAGACCACGCCCTTACTACCTTTTCAGCTTTTTTTTTCAGCTTTTTCAATTCATTCAATGCTCACACATTTGTTTAAATATTTAGCCTATTTTGGTGTGCTGAAAGGGAAGTAAATTATATAGTAGTTATAGAGCAGTTATGGAGTTATGGAGTTATGGAGCAATGGAGGAATTGGGCCACAAAACACAGTGAACAAAACAATGAGAAACAAAACAAAGTTAAAAAGCCAAAGCAGTCAGTAAAAATTAAGTTTTCAAATAAATTTCTAAATTTGAGTTCTTGGAACGAGTAGGACGTACAGCTAGGTTTATTTTTGTTCTCATTTCAATGAAATTTTCGTATTCCGTTGGTTTCTGGGTTCATTCATTGGAGTTTTATAGACATATAGACAAAAAGACAAGAGACATACAGTACTGGACAATGAAATATCATATTTGAAAAAACACTTTCGCACTTTCGCGCGTCTGTAACTCCCTTGTCTTTGAGTTTAAACTATTAGTGTTATACATTTTCTGAAAGCTCTTTTCAAGGGCTACACAATGGTAATATTAATGTTTAGAAATACGAGGGAGTTACAGACGCGCGAGAGTGCGAAAGTGTTTTTTCAAATATGATATTTCATTGTCCAGTAGTGTAATCTATACACAAGAGAATGAAGTTATGAGTAATAAAATGGAAAAAAGGCAAGCCAGATAAAAAGGATAGATAGTCAAATAGAAAACTGTTCCTATCCAGATCCATCCACGAATTGTATGAATCTGATACAAATAGTTTAGTACCAGACATCAGTGAAGGTCTGATCTGTCCCATGCAGTCAAGCAGTAGCAGAATTGGTACTAGATGCAATCAAATTATTGTTACTTGATATCTGATACCAGTTCCAGTACTGTTTTGATGATCTGGAAGAGAAATCTGGACAGTAACTGTAGGCACTTTCACCCCTCTGCCTCCAATCATTCAAAATTAGCATTACTCTTGAATTAAGAATGAAAAACCATAGTTTCCTACTAGAAAAAGTACAATAGAAGAAAATCTACTCAAAAATTACCATATAAATCTTCCATTTTTAGAATGATGTCTTCTTATATTGGTTTTCATCGGCCATATAAATTTGTTTGCCGAAAAATATGACCCGCCTTTTTTTCTAAGCAACTCCGATAACTAGGTTATGAATAATTGAAAACCAAATAGGATTTTTTTCCTTCTGCTTTTTCTATTATTTAAAGCTCATATTATCTTTCATTATAATGTTCTCATATAACAGTTATCCATAAATCACAAGAAAAAACCGCGAGGAGTGCATGATTGATGAGAGCAAAGACGTAAAGCACCACTTTTTATGTGATGTGGTGAAAGGTGGATATGCTCAAAATAACACAGGAAATTTACCCCGCCTACTTGCTTATTCTAGAAGCTTTTAATGTCAAAAATAGAATTAGAAATGGCTTGAAGATCAGAGATAATTTTGTTACGATTTATGAAAACAGACAAAGGAAATTGGTGGAATTGGGAGTGAGTCTGGAAAAATACACGTGGCGTTGTTGTTTTGAGTGAGTCGGTGCTCAGGTCTATGTATAACATTGCTGTCAATACTTGGCTAATACCCAATTTTTCTTGGTAAGCCAAAATCAAACTCATAAATCAGAAAGCAAGAACTGCAATGTTTCGTACTAAGTAGGAAGCATTTTAGTTCTTGAGGCAATGAGTTAAAATAAACTCCGCCAATAGATTCTATGATCCTTTTTACCATTCTATGATCCTTAAAGAAGATTCACTGTGTTCTTTGGGAGGTGTTCTTTGTGCAGCCGCGTAATCGCTCGCGATCTGACCAACGGATTTCCCATAAGACGCATAAGACGGTCAACGGGTTTCCCATAAGACGCTCTCGATTGCACGTCATCTGAAAAAAAATCGGGCTTTAAAAAACCGTCAATCGATTTCCCGATCCCGAGACGACCCGGGTAAAGATTTTTGGCTTCAAATCTTATCTGGACGCAAGTTTCAGAGCAAAAGAAGATTCGCTGGATAAAATAAAGGTGTTCTTTGTGCGGCAGCGTAATCGCCGATCTGGCCAGCGGCTTTCCCAGAAGACCCGGGAAGTCGTTTCATCTCGGGCATAGTGACGTCTCTATGAGTCAGTCCAGTAACCAATCCAGTTATACCAATCCTCATAGGGGTAGCACAACGCCAAAAGCAGTGATCGGCCAATTTTGGTTGAGCGTACGTGAGTTTACTCCGCTGACCAATCTTGGATCCCAAGTGCCATGAATGGTGCGCAGGGGGCCTCCGGGAATTGTTTGACTCATCCCAAGGACTTGTCCATAGGGTCGGTAAAAAACTAGAAGTAAAACAGGAACTGTAGAAAGGTTAAGGGCTCTGGCACTTGAATCTATCAGCCATCATTCCATGCCTGAAAACGCAACGCTTTATTGTGTTAACATTTCTCTTTGTTGGGCAACTACTCGACTTCGGTCCGTAGGGTTGGCAAAGAACGATCATAAAACAAAGAATATCCATCCCATCCATCCCTGGGAAGGAAAGGTGAGCGACTGAGCCGAATTCGCCGCTTTGAGCGTCACTATGCCCAAATCCCTGAGATCAATTCTCGCCTTAAATTTGACTGTGATTTTGCTGCAAATTCTCAAAAAAACCCGAATAAACATTCTTTCTTTTATAGTAAATCAAAATGCTCGGAAAAGAACTTAACTTTGTTTCCTAAATTCAATTTGATAATTTTGACTTGAGCGACACTTGTTCTAACTTTGATAAGACAATCTTTCAGCTCAAAGTTTAAACAAACCCGCCATTGCATTTTAAAAGCCTTCTCTTTCTATTTTTTTCCAATAGGTCAAATCTTTAAGGTTCCCCATTTCATTCTAGTGAGGGTCAAGCCCCCAGCACGAAATGAAAGTGTTTTTTTGAAAGCAGAAATTCTTTGGACCTTTAAATTTCCCAAATTTTGGAACAAGTTAGCTCAAAAGCTTTTTTTTAAAGAAAAAATGTCCGGGACGGGGAAATCGGGCAGAAAATTCAGATTTCCCTTAATTCTCTTTTTTTTGGATCTAGTGACCACTCAAGGCGTGAAGAATTGAAAATTCTTTAATGCTCAAAATAGAGAAAAAGTGGAGGAGGGTTGTAGGGAAAAGGAACCCCAAAAGGAACTTAATAGCCCTTTGCGGATGACAATGGAGCGGAAAAATGAAATCAAATTTTTCGACGGGAAAATGAGTTGTTCAAGGTGTGTGGAAAACAACTTTAGAATGCTTAAAGCGATTTCAAAACTAGAGGAATTTTACGAAAACAGGAAGCCACCGCGACCTCTAGTCTTCACGAGACTTTGAGGAGGAAAATATTATGTATTTCTCAAGCATTTCCCCGTGGAAACCTTAGCCATTTGACTACATTGTCTAAGGAAGAAGAAAGAACATTTTACTAAGTTCATTTTGGCCAATAGCCAACAACAACTAGCCAAATTTTCCCAGTATTCTACGATTCTCGAATGAGTTTCTCGATTAGAAACATTAGAAACAGCTCTTTTGCAAAAAAACAAAAACTATTGAGTAAAAACCAAGAAAAAGGACATAAAAGCAAACGAATGATTCCACTTTTTGTCACAAATCACATTTGAATCCATCCAGTCGTAATCTAATGCAACAAAAGTGCAAAAATGATTGAGAAAGGAGGGTTGCTAGACTGGAAATGTTAGGTATATGTTGTGTCTGATTTAGATTTCCGTCCGATTTAGATTACAGTCTATATCGGACGTCCGATACAGATCGAACAATAATAAACGTGCTTAATATATGTTCTTCAGCGTTTTTTTGCTATTTTCTGCGCTTTTCAAAGAAATTTTATTGTCGATATTAAGCACGTTTATTATTGTTCGATCTGTATCGGACGTCCGATATAGACTGTAATCAATAAAAGACCTTTGAAAAATGCAGAAAACTACAGAAAACGCTTAAGCACATATATTAAGCATGTTTATATTATTGTTCAATCTATATAAGATTTAGATTGAATCTAAATCGGACGTCCGATATAGAGTGTGTTCCTTGCAGACAACGCGTTTTCTAAAAAGCGTGCGCCAAGGATAAGCTATCGTAACAGTATGCTTTGCATCAGCAAATTTTTCAAAATGCAAATGTACATTAAAATCTTGCGCTCTTGTTTTCTATTACTCTTTCCTTAACTCTATTACTCTTTCGCTAAAACTTAAAATTTTTTAAATGCTATTTAAAATTAAAGAAAACATTTAAAACGGGAAAAGTTAAGAAACACTATTAAAAAATGATATTATTTACGAATTTACCAGGCCTATTGTCTACATTTGCACTAGAACCATTCCAAAAAAAATTCCACGCCCTAAAAAACCTGAATCCTTAAATAAAACTATCCATTACTATATTTTAAGAAAAGTTTGCAAATTTTTTTCGCGCGACCTTTATAGCTTTGCTTAAAAAGCGCACCTTTTAGAAAACGCGTTGTCGGAAGTTTGTCGGATCAATTGTCTGACAAAAAAAGTTGTCAATGAAAATTTGTCTGACAAATTGTCTGTCAACAAGGAGCACACTCTAGTCCGATATAGACTGTAATCTACATCGGACGTCCGCGATAAGTTCAATCTAAATCGGACGGAAATCTAAATCGGACACAACATATATATCAAACTCTGTCGAATGAACTGTATTTATCTTGGAAATTTAGTGAAACTGATTGAATAAAGCCGTCTTTTATACAAACAGTTCTTGCAAATGCCTAACTATTGGGTTGGTGAGTTGAAAACTACAGGACTTTGAACTAAAATTTATTCAACATAAAACCATGAATTCATTCCAAATAATTTCCATTATTATTGACGACTTCTGCCCATTTTACAGGCAATTTGCGGATTCCTCTTTCGTAGTAGGATTTTGGTTTTTGTGTGAGACAAGTGTGAGACTCAAAAATGGAGGACTGGAGATGTCCCAGTTTGAGCACTTTCTTCAAAAGAAACCCATTTTGGTGTCAATAGAAAAGTTGTAGAGAATCAAAAATTAGGCTTATAGCCAAATTTCCAAAAAGATACACTTAGTGGTTTCGCTTAAAATGCAAGTTTTGTGAAAATTCGTAAATTTGGCATTTCTTGAAAACCAGTTTTTGAATCGTTCTGAAAATTTAGATATAAGCTTGATTTTTGATTCTCTACAACTTCTCCATTGACGCCAAAATGGGTTTCTTTTGAAGAAAGTGCTCAAACTGTCACATATGACAATAGCCCGCAGTTTTCAATTCACCAACCCAATATGAAACTTAAAATCGAAGAGACATTTTCAAATTGTATCCCGAAAGCAAAGATGACTAAGTGTAAGCTCACTTCAAATTACTTTTTTCAAATTCTTCGAATTCTGTTTTTGTTGTCATCCGCCAAAGAATTTAAAACCAACAAATCCCAAACAAATCCGCTTTTTTCAAACAAAAATGTGCGGTTTATTAGACCACGAGTTCTCAAAGAAACAGAACTTCATTTTGTTTAACAAGAATAGTTTGCAAAATTTCATGAAAACGATTTTGAAAGAAAGCAGATTCAATTGAATTTAGTAGTTTTCAAAAAAATCCGGAATCTTACTAAAAAATAATAAGTTCGACCGTCGGGAAAGTTTAAAATCAGCGCGAGGAAATGCGAAAAGGAAATTGACAATAAAAAAGAAAAAGTGTTACTTTAGCAAAGTTTTTGAAACTTCCTAAAAATGTTCTAACAAAAATCAATCTTTCAACCAATCAATTAATCAATTTTCAAGACAAAGCTTTCAACTTCTATTTTGTGATGTCGTGAGCTTCTCAATATTTCGAATTTTATTTTTTCTTTTGCTCAAACACAATGCGGTGACATTTCTGACGCTTGATGCTGACGCTTGATGCTGACGCTTGATGCTGACACTTGATGCTGACACTTGATACTGACACTTGATGCTGACGCTTGGTGCTGACGCTTGGTGCTGACGCTTGGTGCTGACGCTTGGTGCTGACGCTCATTCTGACGATACACTGTGGTGCAAAAGCCTTGTCCCACTTACTTTTCGGAAACATTTTGTCAAAATTCTAAAACTTTTGAAGTAAAGGGGTTTTTCTGTGCCCTAAGTTGTAAGCTTTCATGCAAAAAAAAGTTTTTAGATTTAAAAAATTTATTACCTAAAAGAAAATAACAAATAAAGTTTAAAATCAAAAAATATATGGTGCAAAAGTCTTGTCCCACCATTAAAAAAGGAAAGCTAGATTAATATTTTGTCGGCCCTTCTTTAGACAAAATCACTGCTTGAATACGTTGAGGCATTGAATCGACCAAATCACGTAGAATTCCCGAAGAAATTTGTCACCAAACGTTCCTGATAAAGAACCAAAGCTCGACCTTTGTGCTGAATATCTTGGCCCTGAGTTTAGTCTTTAAATGGGCCCAAAGATGCTCTATAACATTCAAATCCGGGGAATAAGGAGGCACTTTGATCAATTTTACACGATAAGCAGCAAAAACGCCGGGTAGGAGCTCTTCCTCCATTTGCAAGCCGAACAACTCGGCCCATCATTAGCTGGCTTTTATGGCATGGAACGTTGTCTTGATATTAGGCCCATCCTTGTGGCATGTTTGCATTGCATTGTTTGCAAATGGAAGTAAGTTGTTTTCTATACCTTTGAGCATCGAGACTTCCATTGATAAACACTAGCGGTCCCGGTACACTTCGATTCATCGAGCCTAAAAAGACAAATCGTAAAAATAGCTAATTAAGAAAATATTGAAATACACTGTGGTGCAAAAGTCTTGCCCCACTTTACTTAAAAAGGTGTTTTCGAAAATTTTTAGAAATTGGCCAAAATGTTCCAGGAAAGTAAGTGGGACAAGACTTTTGCACCACAGTGTATTTCCATATTTTCTTAATTAGCTATTTTTTCGATAGTTTGTCAGCTTTCAATACTTTGAAAGTTGAATCCGAGTTGATGAAATGAATTCAAATCAAAGCGGCAAATTAAAGTGATGCACTTCTGTTGTATAGCTCTGACCATTTTATATGCATGCATGCAAATAAAATCACCAATCTCGCATGAAAAGCGTTAGAAAACAGATCCAGTTGAAAAAGAAATGTCAAACAGTCTTCCAAAATGCTTTTTGCTTTGGTTGTTGTTCTCTTTATTGCAAGCGCCTCATAAGCCTGTCCTGAATGCCTGTCAAAGCCTTTGTATACCCATCCTGAATGTGAGGTTGGTGAAGGTTCCAAATAAAATTGCAATACAGTACTATTTTTAGATCAAGATTCAATGAACCCTTTACAGTACTAATCTTATCATTCTAAACCCTCAGGCTGCCGCCGCAAAGATGCTCGAATTGCCTCGAAAGAAGACCACCATTCAGACCGCTGAGAAAGTCGTTTACTTGCACGGGGTATGCTATCGACTAGCTAATGCTGATAAGCACAATTAATTCGCATTTTCAGAAAGCTCCAAACGAATGTCGCAGAAAAGGAGCTGCTGGGCAACCACTTTTCGAAAAAGTCGTCGAAGCTGCGAACAAAGGATGAATGCAAGATTTGCAAAAATCATTTGCACGACGAGATTTACAAAAAAAAGTCATTCAGTGCTTTTAAGTTTTTTCTTTATAAGTGCCTAGTTTTCAAAGTGTTAGTACTTACAACAAAAAGAAAAATAAGGACTTTGAGTAGAAGTCCTATCCAGCGTGTTAGGCTGTCCAGAAATTCTTTACATTTCTTTCCATACTTCCGTTGAAAAATCACAAATTCATCAATTAACCTATAGTTTACTCTAAATAAAAAAATGTTTATTGTGCCATTTCCAATCTTTTTAGGTCGATTTGGGCTCACTTTCAAGCAAATTCCAGAGTGGAAACACGTGTTTTTATAAAAACCTCGGCGAAGAAATTGGCTGAATCAATTTCTCTGAAAATTTGGCTATTTATCTAACTTTTTGTCCTCTATCTTTTATCTATTGGCACCAAGATAGGTTTCTTTAGCTAAAGTGTCTAAACCGCATCATCGAACCGTCCTTTTTACCCGACTTTACGGGTCGGTTACTTTACTACCCGACTTTATGCTCCCAAAAAAATGCAGACATAAGACATAGACATATAAAATCAATTGGCCTTTCTAATGAAACAAACCGTAATTCAATTAGTGCATTTTTTGGTTTTAAACGTAAGTACGAAAAGAAACGAAAAGACTTTCTGGACAGGCTAATAACTACGATCGTGGCAACTTGTTTAATCTCATAGTCGACACCTTTTCATGGATTTGCACATAATATTTTTTTGCCTTGTTGTTAGACACATTCTAATTTTGAAAACAAAAAACAGTCTCAAGTATGACAAAAGAGTGTTTTGATGATCGAGCAGTCTTTTCACCTAACCGTGTTTACCAAGACACTATTTCTATTTCTATTTCTATCATCATTATCTTTTTCAAATCAACTTGTTTTGCTAAATTGATCCATTTTAAAAGACTTATTGCTGTACTTTGTCATATTTTCAATTTCTCAGAGAATTTTTCCTTTACATGTTTTCTTTAATCATAAAACTGTTAACATTGAAATTTACAGAGCTATAAGGCTTTAGATTCAAAATGCGTTTCTTTATTGTGCTACTGCTTGCCACGGTTCTCCTCTTAACTCATGCTAAACAAGATGAGTTGGAAGAAGAAGTTGAAGAACTAACGTGCTCCGAGTGTGAGGTTTGTGATTGATTGGGATGAATTTGGAAACAGGAAACAGACCATAAACAGACCATAAACAGACCATTGTTCATTTGAACTATTTTCAGCATTGTACAATTTTTAGGAAGATCTGGCAGGAGTGGGAGGAGAGCTGAAGAGTCTGACGAAAGAAAAGCTGAAAGGTTATCTACTCGGGAAGTGTGCTGAAGATGTGAGTTTGCTAAAAATCTATTAATAATTAAGATTTTATAATTATAATTTATAGTAATACTAAAGATTTTCAAAAAATCTATTTTGGTTGATTAGTTTATCAAACTAATTATCATGTTCATATTCGTGAATTGAACGCTTTTAACAGCTACAAACTTCAGGCCAGTGAGGAGGCTTGTCA